TCTACTACAAATTAGTGAAAATTGTTTCCAAGTGATACGGCCAGCAAGTACCATACCTTTTGAAAAAGATACTTAGATATTTAGATGGCCCTAACGTAATGTGCAGGCCCCAATACAGTGTTTCCACTAATCTCTGTCCCTCGCTTCGGACATCTACAATCTTCTTGGTTGCCGTCGCAGATGCGTCCTGAGTTCCATTACAAAAATCCTATCCAGCTGATTTCTCAGCTGGTCCATCCGTTCCACAAACACGTCGGCCCATCTCGTTGAAGGTCTTCTTCGGGGACGTTTCGCTTCGCAAAGAGTGCGTTCCGATGTTCTTATTGTTAGTATCCATCTGTCGTCTATTCTTCTCATGATGAAAATGGCCCATCCGGTGTTTCGCTTTCGCAACATATTCCGGGTCACAAAGGCGGGACAATCTTCTCAAATCCGTACTGCGAATTCCGACGAGATGTTTTGTGTGTTGGCTCAGCTACGAAAGACTGCGCTTAAGCGCTCTGCAGATATTCCGTAGAGCTTTTTGCGGCTACAGTGTCAGCCCAAGTCTCAGCTGCGTAACAGAGCGCCGGGAGAACGGTTGAGTCGAAGAGGTGGGCACGAAGCTCCATGTTCGTCAGTTGGTCGGTGGCTTCCTTCAGAGGGCCGAAGGCGGCCCAGGCTGCTCTTCTTCTCCTGTTAAGTTCTTCCCTATAGTCGTCCTCTATGTTTATTGAACGCCCGATACAAGTAGGACATTTCCATGTTAGGGGGGTCTTCCAGTTCCATTTCTGCATCTTCGCATGTAGCATTCTTCATGAACCGGGTCTTCTTCCAATTTATTCGCGATCCGATCTTCTTCCCTACTTCGTTTGGTTCTTTCAGCATCGTCTCTGCTTCAAGGTGAGGGAACCTACATACACCATAAGGTTGCGCCGCCTAGTTAGCGGAGTTCATGAGAGGTCATGAACTGGCAGCAACGCTAATTTGCACTTAATTTGCAGATGAAGACGAGCTGATTCTGCTCACGGTAACTCCGTCATCATCCTGCAGCCTATGAAAACGGAATTTCTTTGAAATTTGAATTTAAAGTCCAGTAGTAAAATCAGTCCAATTAGGGCAAAAACTAACTTGTATTTAGGGTATTCTAACACGCTGATTCCGAATATTTTGATCATTGTGCTTGAAACCTGGGATTTTTTCTTTTTTGAATTGAAACTTGTTTTCACAAATTTTCCAACAAAAATTTCAAAAATTCTATGTAGGGGTTTTCTAACATGCTGTTTCCTAAAAAGCTTGTGGTTTCGCTCAGAACTTTGAATATTTTTCCATCGAAATTCTATTTATTTTCCACAAATTCTCTATAAATTTGGCAAATTTCACACTTAGGGTTTTTGACATGCTGTTTCCAGAAAGCTGATGGTTTTGCTTGAAATATCGGGTCCGATTCATTTTATTTTCTTAAACATAGAATTTTTCCGTTTGTTTTCCAGGTTTATCAAATTTGGAAATTTCCGAAAGACAGTTTGAAATTCAAAACAGAAAAATATTGAAGTTTCAAGCAAAACCATCAGCTTTTTCGAAAACAGCATGTCAGAAAACCCTTACATAGAACTTTCGAAATTTTTGTTAGAAAATTGTGAAAACAAGTGTCAGTTCAAAAGAAGAAAAAAATCCTAAGATTCAAGCAAAACGATTAACATATTTGGAATCAACGTGATAGAATACCCTTGAATACAAGTTTTTGCCCTAATTGGACTGATTACTGAACTTTGAATTCAAATTTCAAAGAAATTCCGTTTTCATAGGCTGCAGGATGATGACGGAGTTACCATGAGCAGAATCAGCTCATCTTCGGTGCAAATTGAGTGCAAATTAGCGTTGCTGCCAGTTCATGACCTCACAAGAACTCCGCTAACTAGGCGGCGGCAACCTTATGGTGTATGTAAGTTCCGTTCCCTCTTCAGCGATGCTGCTAAAAGAGAACAATGTCGTCCTCAAAAGATGTTCCACAGGAATCTCCCATAACTCGTATGCCTCTCTCGTCTCAGTCCAGTGACCTCATCACCCATTGCAAGGCCACGAACAGCTTCGGCAAGAAGGAACAACTGCAACGTGTACAGTCCTTGCAGCAGTCATGTTTTTTTTAGTCCGTTTCGACGCTGTCGAAGGCTTTTTCATAGTCGACGAAGGTTAGGACCAGGGTTGAGCAAGGGGTCAGGCGCAGCCCGGCCGAAAACGACCCCCCCAAGGGGGGAGGGGTCGTGTTAGATACGACCCCTCCCCTTCCTCCTCTCCCCCCCCCCCCCACCCCAGCTCTGCAGGTTTCTTCTCTGTGTAAGGGACCCGTCATACTTCGCCGAAAAAGCCCAAAAAAGCCCGAAAAAGCCCAAAAGCGCCAGAAAGACCAGGAAAGCTTTCTTTCGTTTTGATGCTGACGCATAATGTTGATTTCGCAACCGAGTCTTTCCGCTTCATTTATGATGTCTGCACATAAAAATAGCGTCAGAATTCGACCATAATATCGTTTCTGCGTTCCTGCTCTTTCGGGCTTTTTTGGGCCTTTTCGGGCTTTTTTGAACGCTTTTGGGATTTTTTCGGCGAATTATGACAAATTCTCAAATTCTTATATTTCACCACATTCTTATATCACAACACATTCACATTTATTACCAAAACAAAAGATATTCCAAAGAGATCTATTACATTCCAAAAATAATTATCAGGGCAACAATAACAAGTGCTACTGGATCGTAAGGCTCTGAGTGCGGGGCGACGGCGATTGGTAGCTCAACATTTGTCTGTCGTAGAAAGGGAGGAGGCCCCCCCCCTCCCTCGCCTCTTTTGTTGATGATCACTTTCACGACCAAATAACTGAGGAAAAACTGAAAATATTGAGTTAGTTATATATAAAAGTGCATAAACAAACTTACCATCAACAAAATTAGTATGAGAATAATCACCTCCAGGAGGCTCACTTTCAGATTCATGTTTTTAATCAGCATTATGAGAGATATTCCCTGCTCGTTAGTATCAATCATCTAAAGTACGCTATCAAGTCCATAAAATATACGACTCTATGAAAAACTTACTTTGTAAAAATTAATAGCAAACCCGTGGATTCGAGATCTGAAAGTGAAGATGATTTGGAGTGCAACAGAGGATGACAGAGGAAAGTTAGCGATAATGAGCTAGGAGATGATCAATGTACGGGAGCAACACCGTGAGAATTAGCTGTTTATTTATTAACGACATAGTTCAAAGACGACTGATTCGTTGTCAAATCGAGAGAAGTCTTCGCTAAACTCATCAAGCGGACGTTGATTCCGCTTTCACCACCATTGCTTTGAAGCGGGTAAACTCACAGTGATCGGCGAGTAAGGTTACTGCTGCACCATACCTTCCTGTAAAGTGAATAAATTATCGTTTGATTCGACAGTGGCAAAGTACGCACATCGAAATAGCACCATATCGTGCAGCTCTTCCGATTGTATGAAAGTAAGTCTCTGTACTGATTGCCGTTTCGAGACTGACAACAAGATTTACAGTAGAAACATCTATTCCCCGCTTCGTCTAACAAGGGAACGATACTCAATGTCCGTGGCCTTTCGAAGCACAATTCATACCATTACACTCGTCTTCGAACGCTGATTCCGAATCTGCCTTCCTTTTCTGCTAATCGTTTCTTTGAAAGAAGTTATGGGGGAATTTCGAGCCAAGTTTGGCTGTTCAGGGGAAATATGGCCATTGGAACGGCCGGTACCGCGGCCATTTTCTGGTCTAGTGGTTAGTGCAATAGCCTTATAAGTTGATGCAGGTGTAGGTTCAAACCCTTTTGTGTTTTTATTTTTGCATTACCTCATTTAAGCTTGTTCGAGAAAATTTACTTGAGCTATGACCATTGGATATGTTTTAGCGCAAATAGTATTCATTTTTTCCAAATTTCCACATTCTCTGAATAGTAAGGGCGTTCACCTAGCTTGATGATGCAAAAGAAGGTTGATTGAGGCAATGCAAAACTGAAAAACACAAAAGGTTTCGAACCTGCAGCTGCATCAACTCATGGGGCTATCGCACTAACCACTAGGCCACAATGCACCGGTAGCGTTGGCGCTCCGACCATATTTCACTGGGCAGCACAATTCGCGCGATCCATTATAACATTTTTGAAGCGATTAGCAGAAACAGAAGTCAGATTCGGAATCAGTGTTCCAACACGACTGTAATGGTATACATAACATCTCAAAAGGTCACGAACACCGAGTATCGTTTCCTTGTAAGAACAGATAAGTTACTGAACTGACTCCATCACTAAGTGCTTACCAAATCTGTTGAAATAAGAACTTTCAACTTGTTTTGCTTCAATCTCTCAATGACAATATCGCGATCTCTTCTTGAAACCTGAGCAGAAGTCGATGCAGCAATGAACCTAGCATCTTCCGGAAATTGGTGGATAGGTTCACAACTGCAAAAAAGTCTCGAGACAAGGTTACCATTGTTTAGACATGAATTAGCATACGATATCGTGATCCAAACATGACGATACGAGAAGTCACAGTCTAGTAGATTTTCCGCTAAATATAATGTGCTTGCAGTTGTGAACCTACCATAAATTTTATCGCATTTCTCTGAAGGTGAAATGCGGTAAAATATGCGTGTAAACAAGTACCCACGACAGCAATGCCAGCCTTTTGCGCGTGCGGTCGGCCGACGTCACAGTCGCAGCTATTTGTTCACGCGCAAATTTTACCGCATTTTACCCACAGTGCAAGCACATTATATTAAGCGGAAAATCTACTCGACTGTAGCTTTGTATTGCATGCGTTTTGTCATGCATAAAAGCTATCACTGATAGCTTTTGTGCATGACAGATAGAGAAAAAATGAACAGAGGTCAGTGAGGAGCAAGTGTGATCGAATTTCATGAGGATTGGCTGACTAAAGAAGTATGATTTTTCCAAAAAAAAAGATATGTAAACAAGTAACAGGAAAAGGAAAAACCCCTCAGAGTCATAGTAAGTTTCAAAGCCGTACCTCTTTATCCAAATAAGACAATTCACTGGATGACTCTTCGGGTATCGGAGGCTCATCCCTCTGCAGTCTTCGCAGGGTTGGTCCTTGCATCTTCACTGGAGGCTCATCGTCGTTTTGCAGTCTTCGCAGATCTGGTCTTTTCACCTTACGACTTTGAAGAAGTGCCTCTGAACAAAAAATCTATGAGAAACTACCGACTGGATATAGAAGCGAACAAAAAAGCATGCTGCTAAAACGTTGAATAGTTTCTGCGCGTTAATTATTGAATGGTTGCTTTGTAATCAAAGACTACTACAGTCTATCAATTACGTACTCCCTTCTTCGTCGACGCTGTCGCTACGCCAAAGCTGTGGCTATGGTTGCGCGCGTTCAACCTGAGCATTGGAACTGGCTTCATCGATTTAAGGTCTGCACGCCTGGCTCTCGCGTTGCGGACACGCTACTTCTATAAAAAAGGGAGTACGTATTGACACCAACTGTAGCTATATGGAGAAAAAAAGATGGGAGCAAGTATCAATGGAGGATTTAATGCATCGAATAGGTATAAAGCTTCATTGTACGTGCGTAGGAGATCTAATCTCTACAAACCAGAAATACATCCAAAAACATTTGAGCGAGTAGCGTAACCCTCGTAGCAGCAAAACAAAAAGTGAGATCTCTGACCTTCGAGAAGGTTGTCTTCAAGCTAGGGCTGTGGAGAGAGACCATAGTAGCTCGTAGGCGGTGATCCACCTCCCACAGATTCTGTGACATCCAAGTCAAATAATTGCTGCGACGACAATCTAACACGATGATTTCGCAGTGTAATAGAGAACCCCCTAAAAATGCAACACACTCAATACACCAAATATTTGATAATGTGCTTTCCCTGACCTTTTTGCAACATTTACAGCCAAGCGTGCCATAGACTCGCGACGTTCGGCTCTTGCGCAAACGCATCGTACCTCCCTGACTAAAGCTTCTACCTGTACTAGGCAAACCCTGAGTTCCACTATAGCCAAAGGCAGTGTGTTGGGAAAAGGGAAGTTCTGCAATAAAAAATGCCTACAGTCAATGTCATTAAATAGAAAAAAAATTGAACATACAATCTCAGCACTGTGCGCGTGACCATGACCAAAAGTGGGATCACCGGGCGATGGTCCGGGTTTCAACAGCTTTGCGAAGTAGCAGCATCTTTATCTAAGTGCAAAAAGAAAAAAGGAATTCGCTGTGGAAGATTGGAACCAAAAATGAGAACTCACTTCGCCTCTGTGGATTGGGGTTGCGGGAGCTACTACTCCGACAAATTCATCAGATTTGACGCTGTTGAAGTAGTCCGCCTTCCTGTTGCTGGTCAAGACATAAATACCTCAAAAAATTGACATAGAAACTCCCAAAGCATAAACGAAACTATACATGGATCATGAAGTTACCTTTTCTAGTAAAAATTATGAGCGTATCCAACGTCGTATTGAACAACCATATCTAAATTGCATCCTCGCAGTATTCTTTGCAGCTACTTTTACGAACTCACTTGAAAAGCTTTCGATTTTGAGTATTGCACCGCTCCATCATCCTGGCCTACCATGACCATAAGCCCCTCAACATCACCGAGTCCATACGAACCTGCATTCTGAAATAATGACCTATATTTATTATCACGCTGACATCCATTCAGATGAGAGACCAACCCAGCATTCATATAGTGCAGCAGCATGACGAAGAAAAAGGTCCTTATCTGCTGTTAGGATCTTCTTTTGAGGCATACTCAGGCAAAAATCGGATTTTGAAGGCAAACTGTTAACAATAGACAAGCTGAATATAGAGCAGACAAAACCTGGTATTCATGAAAAAAGCAACAGAACACCACCGCTCCAGCGTCATAAAGGCGTGAAGCCCGACTATACAATGTTAAGGAAGACTAGACCATAAATTAACTTGAACAATCGAGGTACGAGCCATGATTGATTGAAGATGGTTAAGACTTTAGAATTGCTACCCTGAGATGACGACGAAAATTTTAGAGTTCGAAAATAGTAGAACTTTCTAACAGGAATGAAGTGTACAATTAAGATTTGCCTCTTCTGCAGATTGCGCTTTGGAGTGCGCATTACTCTGACTAAATTTTTCCTGCTCATTAACGATCGTCTGGACAACTTCATTGAAAGAAGTCGGAGAATCAGCATAGACGTGAGGTCCTGCACCGCGAATGATCTAAAAAAAGGCATAACATGCAGGTAGTATGACGCCTAAACCCACCTGTACGTTTACATATCCGTTTCTTTGAGATTGTATATCAAATGCTGGTCCAGGATCGATCCAGCTTTTACTTTCGTTTATGAACGTGACAGGCACAGATGCTTCTATTCCATTGAATCCGAAAAAGTTGCCAGAGTATTCTAAGATTCGCAACTAGATTATTCTAAGATTCGCAAACGGTGGGCAAACTGCAACTCAATGGATTGATAATGCAAGGGACTATGTGCGATGTCAGCAAAGTGATACCAATAGATTACCTTGATGAAATGTGGCCACAGCATATAAAAGAGATGGTTCACCAAATCCTCCCATCTGGGGCGCTTTCCTCAGGGAAGTCCCTCTCTCTATGTGGTCATCGATGGGTCGTCACGGATGCGACTCCGGGTCAAGACAACAGTTGCGATGATGACAGCAAAAATTTCTTGTGGCTGAATTGAAGATGATAGAACCAATTCCCAGGATCGACGAATTGAGGAGCGAGAAGGTGATAGGCTGGATGTTTCTACCATCCCTCTACTACAGACCAGTTCTGCACCGCTTCCTTCCGAAACACCCAGTCACCACTAGATGACGCTCTGGATATATATTTGAACATTCCGTCGGCCGAAGAAGTGCAAGATTCTAGCGCTCACATCACTCCACTTGATGAACGTCAAACAAGGTTGGAGAACAGAGTTGCCAAGCTTTTAGAGATTGTTCAAGGTATCGCGCACCGTCAAAAACAGTTTGACGAACAGCAGAAAATGCTGACGATAGAATCGCAACAAGCTAGTAGCATACTCGCCAACCTAAGAGAGCAAATGAGGGAAAGGAGTGAGTTACAAAATATAGAGCAACTACTGCAAAACGAAAACCTCCGCCGTCGACATGGCCTTCATCGAGACGCGCTAGAAAATGCAAAGTTCGTGGAAGATCTGAAGCTTAATGAGTTAATGAAGAAAGACTGAATTCTAAACAAATCGAAGACCTACGCAATACTTATTACGCACTTACGCAATAAGACTTATTTGCGCTATTACAGAGACGAAAACCATCTGAAGGTGACTTCATGAGGTGTGCTCTTTGCAACAGAAAAGCTACCCAACCATTTGACGTAGAGGAAGGGTTTCGCAAATGCGAATTTGACAGCGACTTTCCAAAAGGTTCAAATTTACTAAGGGAGAACAATATACTTTGTGTGAAAAGATTAGCTCATCTTACGCAAAGTGCATGAAGACCGCGTAGACTTCTCGGTCGCCTCTTAAAGCGAATAAATACTCATGAAAACACGGCAAAGCATAAACAACATCTGGAAGAGTACGACAAAGAAGTAGAGGCCATTATGCGAAGCACCGCACCGGATGACATTTCTGCAACGGTTACATCAACATTTGCTGCTTATGTGATAGCAAAAGAAGGGCTTCCTTTTTTGAAACAATTTCCGCTGCTGGTGATGTCAATGAGGTCTGGATCGGTAGGTGACAGTTTATCACGATTTTACGACCGTGCGAAAAATGATTACTGCCTTTGCTGTTCATGTGAAGTACGACCTTGTAAAATACGTCGTCAACCGCAACCTGCAATCTTATATATAAAGCTGAATGTCTGTTTGTCTGTATGTCTGTATGTCTGTATGTATGTACGTATGTTCCGAATAGAAAATTCCATTTCTGAACCGATCGGGACCAAACTTGGCACACATACACTTCGGGCCCCGGCGGGTGTCACAGTCCACTTTTCGTTATCGATTGATGTCGATTTTATCGGTTTTTTGCAAAATTTGAGCTACGGGGCTGGGAGTTGGCACAGGGGGTAAGTGAGCATGGGGATTCCGAATACAATAGTAGTTTTTGAAATCGTGCATTACTTTTATCGATTTTATCGATTTTTTGCAAAGTTTGAGCTACGGGGCTGGGATTTGGCACAGGGGGGTAATCGAGCATGCTGATCACCCCCACGGGGGTCAGCATGCTCGATTACCCCCCTGTGCCAAATCCCAGCCCCCTAGCTCAAATTTTGCGAAAAACCGATAAAATCGACATCAATCGATAACGAAAAGTGGACTGTGACACCCGCCGGGGCCCGAAGTGTATGTGTGCCAAATTTGGTTCGGATCGGTTAAGAAATGAAATTTTCTATTCGGAACATACGGCGGAGCCGGGTATGCCAGCTAGTTTACTATACTTCTAAATGGGCCCTCCTCAAGTAGAGGAGTGAAATGGATAGTGTTTCTTATCAGAACTCTTTCACCGCAACATCGCCCCATAACCTTCCACTTTTACCTGACAGAAGTAGAGAGTGAATCTGCGTCGCACATTGTGAAGGCACTTCTGCAGACTTTCGACAAAACAGAGCCGTGGGCGGATAAGCCTGGCCTCTCTAACACCTTCAGAAATCATGCAGTGCGGAACATGCTGGCAATGTCCTCCAATGGTGCAGCTTTAATGGGTAGCCAAATTTCTGGTGTTTTTGCAAAATTGAAAGAGCTGGTTGCCCGTGAAGCACCTGCAGATTTTCATCCAAGACAAGCGCTGATGATATCAGTATGTATGGCGCATAAATTGAATTTAGCAGTGAAGGCACAAAAAGAAAAACTGTTCAAGCTGGCTCAAAGCGTTGTTATGGAGCTGTACCATTCATTTGGATCGACTGTCAGAACAACTAGCAAGAGCATTTATAGCTGCACAAAATATGTGCTTTCCAGATCTACAGATGAGTGCCCTCCTTACAGTAATAGTCAGCCAGCTTCGCCAATTCCAATTCCAATATACTGTTTATTCAGTAATCCTTCAAGCTCTCGTTGACATCCGAAACAACAGACGCCTGACAAACACACTCATAATTAGAGCGAGACTGGCACATATGATACTTTCAGATGCGAGAACTTACATAGCCTTGCACCATCTCAACACCACGATGCATGAGCTATCCATTCTGTCTCAAAGTATGCAACGCGAAGAAGGGCTGCTTATTGACAATTTACAGAAATGGAGAAGTCTCATTTACAGCTTAACGAGGGAAACCCTGTCGCAAAAAACCACGAGGAGCCTACCTGAACAAGGAACGATTACGGACGTTGAAAATGATCAGCCTGTTCTACTCGATTTGAGTGTACTCGAAAACTACGATACAGCCAATAAACGAATTTTATCGTACGATCCTCGCGCATTCCTGGACTACTCCCCTTCGGGACCATAGCGAGTGTAGTGGATGAGTCCGATTTGAACTTCAATCTTGAGGATGCACCAGAAAGTAGCGCACTTGAGCTACGACACTGCAGCTTGAGCAGACAGTATAAAGAGTTTGCCAGGATACTGCCGTTTATTCTAGCATCAAAACATTTTACAAAGATATGAAAGAAGCTTTAACCCTTCACCTGGCAAGCAAGTCCCACGAGCTAAATCACAATGACCTAATAGCTCTTGATAGGCAGATAATCCTAGATGTGATCGACTTCAATGGAGATTTCGAGGGTGCTTTCGCTGAATATGTTCCCGAAAACGTTAACTTTCTCATTAGAGGATGTCCAAACTATGTCGACATGGAAACAAATACCCCCGAGCCACGTCTCCGTCAGCGGCTTATCTTTGAGTCTATTGACGCGATTCAGCAATGCTGCAATATTCGAGACTTGAAGAATAGCATGATTCAGTTTTACAACACAATGCCGGCATCTACTCGGAAGTTTTCAAAGTGGCCCTCAAATTTTAGAGAACAATCAGATAGTCTACACTTTTATCGAACGCTACTGCAAAGTAGTAAGGAAATGAATAATCCAGATAAAGTAGAACAGGTATGATTATTCTGTTTTTCTCATCAATATCCAACATACTTCCTTGTAGGCTATAAAATGCATAATTGTTCTTCCTGGCAGCAATGCGGACCCCGAACGCAGCTTCTCCGCTGCGAATAGGCTTTCGAGAGACGAAAGAAGCGAGATAAAAACTGAAACTCTTGATCACATTATGACGTAAACTCTTTTGACATCTCGAGCATTTCGGTGTTCCTATACGTTTTAGGGTGCAACGTAATGGACCTACTGTTCTCACTGTAAAGGTACAGCAACTAGCTTCTCAATGGATGCACCCTGCTCCAGGTTGCGGCCTTAGTCTCGGAATACCATCCACTTTTGTTCGAGAGGGCAGCCTAATGAAAGAAGTGAAGGAAAACCTCGCAAAAGCAGAATGCTGTTTTCGTACTTTGCACTCTTGAAATTCTTATCTAGGTGATGCATTAGCCACACTGCATGTAAGGCGTCACATGGTAGTTCACGGACTCAATGCGAGAGAGGACGCCGATGATATTAAGAACCTACTGCAGGAAGAACTCGCCAAAATGTCTATCTTTTCTGTCGGATCACCCGCAAAACCAGAATGAATAAATATTTTATTTCGCAATCAGTGTTAATGTATTTGAATCTCTATTTTTCTTTACTAGCTCCAACTTCACAAAAATCAAGCAGTGAGTTGGTTCATATACAAAATCATGATATTTGTCATCAAATCCTTTGTGCAGCCGTCCGAACACCTGCAAAAGCAAATTGAGAAAAGGTTCATTCACTGCTTCTAACTTAAACAAACAATGTCCGTAATTTTCCCATTTTAGCCAAAATGATCTAATAAACTCAAAAATAAAACTTAATAGAGCAACGGTAGTGAAGAGAAATTATTTGTTCTTTACCAGTGCACCTTGAAAAGAAGTGCTGCATTACAAAAGTTTTGGACGATTTATGATCCTACCCCCCCCCCCCCCCAAATTTCCCCCACCCCCGGTTCCACCCCTAATACGACCCCTCAGATCAGCCTGACCCCACGCTCAACCCTGGTTAGGACGAGGGGCAATCGGTATTCCCGGCAGACATTTGTGAAATCCTCGAAATCATCTTGATGTGGTCCATGCAGCTATATCCTTTGAAAGATCGAGCTTATTCTTGTGGTCGGGTTTCATGCAGTGTTCTAGATATATGAGCGAGGATACTTCGTAAAAAGCTTGCACAACATACTCAGCTGTATACTTGGGTCCGAATCGAATAGAAATTCATTCATTCGAATAAAACATTCGAATATATTCGCATTCGAAATTCCATGTTCGGAGTTCTTCCATTTTCGAATAAGATTCGAAACTCGAATAATCAAAAAACAGGGTTTCGAATAAAATTCGAAAACTCGAATAATCAAAAAACGAGGTTTCGAATATTATTCGAAAACTCGAATAATCAAAAAACGGGGTTTTGAATAGATTTTATTCGAATGTTTTATTCGAATGTTTATTCGAATTCGTATTCGAATGTACTCCGTATTCAGATTATTCGACTTTGTTGCAGAGCCAACTGCTGAGTATCAAGCTCATTTCGTCCGCGTTTTTTTTTCGCAAAACTCAGTAATGCATCTTTTGCAACCGGTAGACCTTTGAACTGTATGGAGAGTCGCACTCTTCCGACTGCTTGCGACAGTAAAAAAATCATATGTGGATTTTATTTGATGTTTTTTCGATCAATGAGACTGTTCGCACTGCTATCGGCACCAATCAGCGAAGAAGATATCAAATTCAAGCTCATGTTCTCTGAGTTCATACTGAATCGAAATGGCTGTTCTTCTTTCTTTGCGTTGCTCATGCTTGCGGTACGCAAAGCCCACACTAGTGAGCACTCTTGCTCGCATAAATTATTGCAAAAGCCTATTCGTTACCTTGGAGTTTTTTGCGAATTGGTTTATATTGAGTAAAGGACATCGCAGCTGTAGTGCAGGATTGATCGGTTTAGATCGCCGTACGCGATTTGCCAGTTACGAGATGTCTTCAGATGTAATGGCAGTTTACCACAAATGTTTAGCGTGTACAACATACTAAAAAGATAAATGCCCTGCATGCTGTACTTTCAGAATAGGTTTTGGAAAATTTGAGTATTGCCATACCACGTCGCCACTGAAATGCCTGCAGTATGCCCGGGGCTATAGGGGAATTCGTGCTCGCTTCGCGAATATTCGAAATCGATTTTTGGAGAAGTTTAAGCTGCGGGGCTGGGAGTTGGTACAAGGGGGTAAGTGCGGGTGCTAATTATGGACAGAAATTTAAATCGATTTTATCGATTTTTGGAAAAGCTTGAGCTACGAGGTCGGGAGTTGGTACAAGGGAGTGAGTGAGGGTGCTGATTATGGATAAAAATTTACTTTGTCGATTCTATCGATTTTTGGAAAATCTTGAGCTACGAGGTTGGGAATTGGTAGAGGGTAAGTGAGCGTGCTGATTAGAATCGAAATCTATTTTATTGATTTCAGCAATTTTTGGAAAATTTTGAGCTAGGAGTTGGTATAGGGGATACTAGGGGGCTGATTATGATTGGATCGGCTTTAGCCAGGTATGTCGGCAAGTTTGAGATGTGATTGCTTTAGTTATTCGATAAATCATTCGAATATTTATTCGAAATTCGACTTTCAATGTTCGAATATATTCGATATTCATTCATTCGATATTTTTGATTTTCCGAATTTATTCGAAATTCATTCATTCGATATTTTTGATTTTTCGAATTTATTCGAAATTCATTCATTCGATATTTTTGATTTTCCGAATTTATTCGATATTCGTTTATTCGAAATTTTTCCTTTTTTATTCGATATTCATTCATTCGATGAAAAATTATCGAATTACCCAAGTATACTCAGCAGGCATATTGGACGGTAGTTCCCAAGATCCTCCCGTTCGCCCTTCTTGAAAAGAAAGACGGTTTTTGAAGTTGTCCACTGGTTTGAATTGCTTTCCTTCTACAGGTAAGATGTTAAATGCGACGCGAAAATCTCGTGCAAACGTTGTCTTCCAGCTTGCAAATGTTTGACGAAAAGATGGTCTGGTCTCAGAGCCGTGACGTCTTCGTGTTCTGAATTGCGGTACGCACTTCAGCAGGTAGAAATCGTGGTCCTAATTCTCCTGTGGGAACAACGGGCATCGGCACAAGTGTGATGAGTGGAAGAGGTTGGTGTAGAAGTCCTTCGCGATAGATTCCTTCCTTTATCGGGAAGAAGTCGGGGTCTCATCTTTGTTCAATATTGCAGCAACGGCACGTGATATTCGCACCATAACTAACAAGGGAAGGAAGGTTGGTCGAAGTGGCCTTTCGAAATGAAATGTATACTGTCTTGTGAAGCTTGGAACGCTGATTCCAAATCTGCCTTCGCACGTGCTGCGGCCTTCTGGGCGAGGAGTTATGAAGGTTTTTGTGAGTAAAAAGTTAATTGTAAAATTAGTGTAAAATCAGCCGTAACATTTTTCCCTGGGCTTAACTAATAGTCGGGTCATTCGGTGCAACAAATATTCTTGATTCAAATAAATCAACTCGCTGCTGCTCCATTCGAACGTCAGAAAAAGGTTACAACTGACTTTTATACTAATCTTGCATTTGAAATTTTACTCACAAAAACCTTCATAACTTCTCGTCCAGAAGGCCGCAGCAGATAGCAAAAATAGACTTGGAATCAGCGTTCCAAGCTCTATAAAACAGTATACATCTTATTCTAAAAGGCCACTTCGACCAACCTTCCTTTCCTTGTAAGAGTAATATCCTACAATTGGGAAGAGTTTCTTTGGAGTATGCAAAAAATAGAAATGAAGTCTAATGCAGCTTAAGTCGTTCTCTGTTGCTCTCGTGTTTTGTGCTGGTGGAAGAAACGAAAAGTCTTTCAAAACAGTTATATATATATAAATGGAAAACCTTCTCATATAGAATCATCTTGTTATCAAATGGTTCATGCTGAGCTGCAGAATAGCGCACTAACGAAACAATTCTTACAAACTAATGATTACGTACTAATAGTAGTTCCCCTTGCTCTCCTTTACGTGCACATTCTGCAGCTAAAGATTTTCGCCGACCCCTTCATTGCAAAACGGTAAAATCGCTCGCATCATGCTATTTTATGGGCATTCAAGTGTAACCGAGACTGTATGCAGTAGAAAAAGCAGTAAAGAACAAGCGCATGCAAGCGTTTTCGTGGCAAAGAAATCGTTAGACGCAGAAAAAACTTGAACCGATAAACTTTAATGACTTTCCGATATGAGAAAAAAGAATGTGCAATTTGGGTAAAAAAAAACGTTCTGCTCGCAGCGAAAAAGTGCACGCGAGACATGAACGAGTAACTGAAAATGAGATCCAAAAATTAATTTTTCCAAACGATTCCTCACTAGGTCTGGCTCATGTACGAGTAAGTCGTTTAGATGAGTATTAATCATCGTCTACTGTGATAAGTTTGACGGATGGTTCCAGTACGAATGTCGGAAGCACTTTGTGACACGACCTTGTTACAGAGAAGATTTCATGCACATCTCGCCAATAACTGCAGTACAGGAACTACAAAGTTCTAGCAGAAAAACACCAAATAAAGAGTACAGACGATTTTTCAAAAGTGGTGGACATGAATCAATTTATTTCTTATAATTGCTGACAAAATTTTGATAAATAATCCTAAAGGCTGCAAAATTATGATGTGCGAAATATCAATCATCTTATATGAGTCATTTACCCGTTTCATTAAATAATTACCTGAGCATTTGAGTACTTACTTGTCATGCCTTATAATTATTGGGATCGTAAAAATACAAAACTATCATGAGAAAGAAATGATAGAAGCGACGCAACCTTATGCAAATAAATTGTTCAAACCCTATCAAGCTTATCATGACCTTTTGAGGACATATAGCAGAATTAACACTTTCTACAGAAGTTTGGAAATGGAAGTGAAAGATAAGTTCGTAACCCTATGGCATACTAAACTTATAATACTGGAAAAAAATTCACCATCAAAGGTATCGCGGATTGGAGCAGTATTAAAGATAACATTTGCAAATTTATCCCAATAGACTTTTTGGGTTCTTTATTCGTCCATTCCTTTGAGTGTTTGTAACATATATTCAGAAAATAGAAAGAATAATCAACATTAAAATACTCTGACTTTTCCCAGATGAGACTAATGTCTTCCGCCATAGCTTCCATTGTTTGCCATTGAATGAGTGACAGATAATCTTTGAGAAAAGCCAGAGCATTCAATTATGACCCCATTCAGTCATGTCTAAATGAAGTTCAATTTTAACCTATAGCTAAAAGTTATGGCAGTTTCTAGCAGCCATAAACTTTTTACTTCATATCCAAACAAGTTTAAAATTGCTGTTATAATGTTTACTGCAAAGTACGCTTTTTTCAGCTTTCCTTTTCATGATTTTAATTGCAGACGATTAAAGGTCTCTAAAGAAGCAGTAGACGAGCCATTCGCCTCTAAATTCATTGCATACTGTAATTCTTGAAAGCGATTGCTACATATTTGCTGAAAAAAAGAACACATTCTTTGTAGAACAAATCTGTTTGCAACAATTTAGGTCAAAAAAGTTTTTTTACAGTGGAATGTTGCATCGCGGTCGTCCCAATTCCCCAAATTCAACATTTTTTCAATGAAAAAAATCAACATTTTTTTCTACAAAGCATTGAAATGACTGCGATAATGCATACGTGTAGATGAATTGTCTGAATTCACATATCAGTGGAAGACGATGGGTTTTGTGAACCTAGCCCCCTTACGGCAATGGCGATCCGAAAGATTTTTTACAGAGGGAGAGAGAGAGAAGCGCTATATGATCCTAAAAATTTGATGTCGCTTTCGGGGTTTTGACATACATCTCCTATTTTTCAAAAAGGGTGGTGGCAGCCATGCCCTTGAAAACCTCTTTGCTATGCTATTTTTTTTAAATTATTGAATTCAAATTTCACAAGTAAAATCAAGTTCTTTGTGCATCTGTAACATAATGGTTTCCAAGAATTTCTTGACTCATCCTCAAGGAAGGGCTACCCCTCAACCTGCAATTTATTCAGGGTGACTTCACTGGGATTTCATTGTTATGGCTTTGAGGACTCCTTGTCTGCTCAGCCAAGGTACATGTGTAGTGATCATGCTGGAACTGTCATTTGCTATTTGTTCCGATTTTATGATGCTGCCATAATAGCTGGTGACGAGATCTAAGAAAAAGTGCAAACCAGTAACAAATTTCTCTTTGCTTTGCACACTAAAACCTGCGTCAGAAAGCAAATGACGCTATTTCTCTGCGGCAAATTAATCCACCAAAGAACATAATCGTCTAAAATCAGCGGCAGACGTCGGGCCGAGGAATGCTCATGAAGCGACTGCACTTTAACGAGATCATGTAATGAAAAATACTGAAATTGGATTCGGCCGACATCGCAAAAAAAGCACATGTTCGAGGTGAATCGCTGTAAACTGACCATCAAATTGTCCTATATAAAAGCCAGCAAGGGGCGACCTTTCACTCAAGCGTAGCAGTGGCGGAAGTGCTCGTTTGGTGAGTGTTTGTGCGTATTTTCTGGTATAACAGCTGTTTGAGCACAAAATTTCAGCTGGCTTTAAAACTTATTCCATATTTTTCTTCAACTTCATTTGCTCCAATTTAGACTCAGAATGAGCACGACTGTCGTTACTGGCGTGGCTGGCATCACTGCCGTCATAACAATGCTTTCCATGGTCACAGTCCTCTATCTCGTGAATGACATTAACAATTTCTATGACGATGCCCTTACGCAGCTCACAGACTTCAAGGTTAGAGCTCCACAAAAAAGTTCTGCGAGCTTAAACCAATCAAAAGTCCTTTAGGACATGGCCAACTCAGCATGGCACGAAATGAGACCCACCTACCATACAAGGGATACAAGAGAAGTGATCTACGGACTGCTCAAAGGAAAGAACGCTCGAACTAGAGAGCGTCGCCAATGGCCAGCGCATTGCGCTTGTGGAGCGGCACCAGCATCTTGCCCACAAGGACCTCCAGGACCCCCTGGAGAAAAAGGGCTCGATGGAGAACCCGGCTTGCCTGGTTTACCGGGGAAACGTGGAAACGACGGCATTGGAATTAGCATGGGCGGTGGAGCTGGCGGGTGTATCAAGTGCCCGCCGGGACCTCCTGGACAACCGGGACCAGATGGCCCACCGGGACCTCCTGGACCGCAGGGACCACCTGGAACAGGAGGTGGACCTGGTGGGCAAGGACCACCTGGCCCTCCTGGACCTATGGGAGATCCGGGACCAGCGGGACCTCCTGGACCTCCTGGACCGAATGGACCAGCAGGAACATCTGGACAAAAAACCGTTGGTGTACCAGGTCCTCCTGGACCGGCTGGACCCATGGGACCGCCAGGACCACCTGGTCCAGCTGGCAGCGGTTACGGAGCACCACAACCTGGACCGCCAGGACCTCCTGGGCCAGCAGGAAAACCAGGACCACCGGGACCAGATGGGCCACCTGGAGCACCCGGTCCAGCCGGTACACCTGGTGGAGATGCTGCATATTGCCCATGTCCTCCTCGTACAGTCGCTAAAGGAAAGAGGAGCTCCTTGCTTTCAAAGGCAGCACCGAAAGAAGTCGACGCAATCAAGGTGAAGTAGAGAAAGCTCATGATCCTTCCCAGAGTATCGTGGTTATGCTGGGAATAAAGATTGCAGAATTATCTTGGATTCGTTCCGCAAAAGAGTCAGAAAATATATGAAATTATTTGTAAACAAAATAATTGTGATCCGTAAGCTAACTACAGTGAAATGGTTCTGCATATTGCAGTATGCACATCAGTAAAGTCAATATGAATGATTGTGAATGCTACTTTGCTCTAACACGCATATTTCTGAGAGCGAGGTTTTTTCCCGTAGTACTCAAATATCAATGCCAAATGTATGCTTTTGTAGCTTCCAATTAGAAAAAAATTTAACTTGTCGTCCTTTTACTTAAGTTAAAGCTGTCACATTCATTCCAATCATACCATAGAAAGAGAAGTAGATTGGATTTTGTCAACGAAGGTCCCATGGCGGTACGTTTACAGACTTGAGGCAGTACTCTCAATTGTGCTTTAACTCACATTCTCTCTATCACATAGCCAACAGCGATCAAAATCCTACAAAATCATAATAATATCCAATTCAAAATATATTTTTTTACTTCTTGCGATTGCTCTCTCAAATTATTAATCTCGCAAACTGCTTGTACTTCATCTGCTGCTTTCGAATCTCGGAAGCCCGAGGAGTTGGAGGGGTGGGAGGCGGGGGGGGGGGGGGAGGGGGAGGGGGGAGGGAGTACGCGTTACACAAAAATTTTTCTCTTAATAAAGAGGCTCCTCTGGAAATATGTTTGAATAAATTTTTTTGTACAAAAATCTGAGTTTCCACACGATTATTCGAATAATTTACAAGTATGGTGCATCCCCCAGAATTGTTCCCATATGAGCCATCAACGTGGCTGCCCTTTGATCGTTTTAACATGTTAACTCGAGCAAGTAAGGCGTTTTTTTCAAAGCTGACATGTTGAAATAAAGACAGCCACGTTTATGGTTCATATGGGGACAATTCCGGGGGACGCACCATATCTCATGTCACTTACACACGTCTACATCTAGCCACTGTCTCTCGGTAAGCTTCTAGTTTTATTTACGGATTAAGGACTGGCGCATATTTTGTACATCTGGGGCGGTATTATCAATCGCACGTCCGGGTAAGGGTTCCCATTCAGGTAGTAACGTCTTCATAGCTCGGGACTTTGGGGATTGTGTTCTTCATTGTTTGTCCCTTTTGAAGACTCTGCTACCGAGAGGGAGGGGGGTTGGGGGGTCAAGGGGTGCCCCCCCCCCCGAGAATGGGTTGCTAAATTTCTGAAAGTTACTTATATGAGCACATGAGTTAAAAAAAATGTGCAAGTGATTTATTCATACCTGTACGTAACTAAAATATTTTTTTTAAATTTTTTAAAAATTCAATCGCCCTATGGAAAAAATTTTTCGGGGCTGGGTTATAGGCCCGCGAAAATTTTGAGAACCATACCAAAAAAATTTTCTGAAGGTGCGTGGTGTTAGCCAGAATTTCAGAAAAAATTTTTCTATCCCCCCCCCCCTTCCCCGAGCGGAAATCCTGGGTACGCCACTGCCTGCTACCCTAATTTTGTAGCATAATGAATAGCAGAACTTTGTAGTATAAGCTGAGATTTTTGTTGATCCCGAATGGGATCCTTAAGAGATCACGGGGCTCACTTTCAGAGTCGTTTATCTTTGCAAAAACTCAATGAAAACGTCTTAAAGTTGTGCTGAAGATTACGACATTGCTAGCATGTTTCCAGTAGCACACATGACGTGCGAAAGTTTCGATAAACACCAACTCGCGAGCAAAGCTTCAACGAAGATTTCTTAAGTTGAGTTTTCACTCATTGCTTCTGCAAAAATGTTCTGCACTGTTATGATAGATCAACAGCAAAACCTTGCGAAGTTTTCACGGAGTTTTTCAAAGATAATTGATTTCAAAAATGAGCCGTAATCAGGGCTCGGCACAGCTGGCACCGGGTCAAGCTGGATATCTATTTAGGGCGGAAAGCAAAGGGGATATCGTTTTTCGGGTCTGGGGCGGAGAAGAAGCGCAAGAATGCCGCCGGCATGCTGCCCATCAAACAAACAAAGGCGTTGTTCTCAGCCAAAACGTAATAGTATGACAGCAAATTCGGTGTGTGCATGCGCGTTGGGGGACCCGAACTATGGCCCAAAAATTTATGAAAACTTATGTGAATGAAAGCTGTGCGGAACTTTTTTCTGAATTAGCTGGCACCGTGCAGTTGGGTGCCAGCTGAGCTGGCATCGACACTTTGTTCACATAAGTTTCCATACTTTTTTACATAAAATGTATCTACATTGTGAAAGATTACATACAGAGAAGAAACAATTTCATAATGTTTTCTTTTCAGCGTTTTATAGCCATTTAAAAGTTACTCGGTCTGCTCCGCAATCGAAAAATCGGCTTTTCCTGCTTCTCAACATATGATTCAACTGAATAAAAAGTTCAGAAAGCTTGAAAAGTTGTTTCATGAAAACATGCATGCAAACTCTACTACATACGTTTACATAATCTAAAAATGACGGGTCTTCAAAACAGATCAAAGGGGACTTCGACGAAATTTTCAAGATCAAACGGGACTTCGTTTTAAAATTTCCCTGGTGCCAGCTCGTGCCGATCCCTGGCCGTGATTCTCTGAGGATCCCATTCGATATCATGCAAAATACCGAAAATCTCAGTTTACACAGCAAAGTCCTGCTATTCATTATGCTATAATATCAGGGTAGTAGGGCCTTCAGAAGATGGACCAACAAGGAAGAACACATATCACCAAAGTAACGAGCTATGAAGCGGTTACTACCTGAATGGGAACCTTACCCGGACGGGTGATTGATACATACCACCCCTGAAGTGAGAGCGCGATACGATGCTATTTTAATTGCTTAACAATGTCTGAATTGTAAGTTCTTATGAATTACATTGTTATGTTGCGGTGGTTTGTTTTGCATATCATAAAGTTTACCATAAATTGCAATAAATGCATAACTGAGACACCGTAACAATTATTTATGAAATGTGTCAGAGGGTTCATTTCACTCAACGCTATATTGAGCAGCTTTTGGAATATGCACTAGCTCCATTCTGGCTTCTCCCTACCAAATTTGGAAGAGTATTATTTGTTTCATGTAAAATATGTGTTTAGAAAAAACTTTCGCAGTAACTCTTTTCGAGCTCAGCAAATGGCCACTTGACTGTGATTTATTTCCGTCATTAATCAAGATCTATTGAAATTGAATTGCATTCTCCGCTGCAGACTTTATTCGAAACCAGTTTAGAGAGAAAGTGTTGACCTTCTAAAGTAGCTCATGAAACACATGTTAGCCAAGATGTCACGGATTCATGTGAAGAAATCTTTCCAAGCTTCTAGAATTTAATTACCTTATTAGGGATTAGATAACAATGTGAAACCAGAGAGCCTGTTTGTTTCAGGATCCAAGCTGGAATCGTAGAGATGATAACCTGTTTGAAAATATTTATATATTAATGCAAAAAAAAACCCAGGAAGGTTCAATCGCTCATGTTCTGCCTTTTGACGGTATATCTTTTGCTAGAGACTGGAGCTTTTTTGTTTCAGTGAGGGTTTTACTCCGTGACTCATCAATGCCAAGCCTTTGCGAGCGTAAAGTGCAGCCAACTTATAATTTTGAGAAAAAATGCAGCTTAAAAAAAGAAATGGTTGATGTTCTAATTAGGTAGACGTTAAAACATTACAAAAGCTTTCCACCATTCTTATATACAAAGCTGAATGTATGCTTGTTTGTATACATGTATGCACCTATGTATGTCCCAGTGGCGGTCCCAGCATTTCCGTTCGGGGGAGAGGCGAAAAATTGTTTCAAATGAAGGTGTGTGGCGTAAGCTACGCACTCCGAGAAAACTTCGGGTTGCTCCTCAGAATTCTTGCGGGCCCACAACCCATAAAACCTAGAAAAAGGGGGCGTGGCGGCAGCTAAGTCCTTAAAAAATTTTTCTTCATAAGGCTTGAATCTTCAAAAAAGTTTAGAAGTTATTTCAATCGATTACAAGAATAAACAAGTTACTTGCACATTTTTATAACCTGTATAAGTAAATCTCAAAGTATTTGCGACCCATTCTCGGGGGCGGCCCCCACCGGACCGTCACTGTTATGCACGTATGTTCCAAATACAGGGTCCGGAACAAAATCGCCACACATACACTTTGAGGCGGGGCGGGTGTCGTGGGCACTTCTGGATATGGACATCGATTTTACGAAAAATCTAAAGCTACGGAGCTGGAAGTGGGTACAAGAGAATAATTGAGCTTGTCGGTTACGAATACATCATTCGTTTTTGAAATTATCTACAACTTTTACTGATTTTATCGACTTTTTTACAAAGTTTGACCTATGGGTCTGGGAGTTGGTACAGGGGGGGGGGGTAAGTGAGCATCTGACACAATATTATTAATACAATATTAGTTAATGGAATTATTCACTACTTTCATCGATTTTATCGATTTCCTTGCAACCTTTGACCTACGGGGCAGGGAGTTGGTATAGAGGGATAAGGGACGATGTTGACTAAGAAAATAATGAAGAGTGGGGCAGGGGCAGAAAAATGTGCATTATAATAGTGTATTGACAGGACTGGGCGGACTAGTTCCACGTGCGGCCATTGGCGCGCGTTATGAATATTTATGATATCCATTATAGTCAAACGGAAAAGTTAGTCGTTCTGAGAAAATATGAGCTTTGAGCAGTATAAGTGCTTATAGCAGTACTTATGGCATCTTATATATAAAGCTGAATGTCTGTTTGTATGTATGTCTGTATGTATGTATGTCTGTGTGTACGTATGTTCCAAATAGAAAATTCCATTTCTGAACCGATCCGGACCAAACTTGGCACACATACACTTCGGGCCCCGGCGGGTGTCATAGGCTACTTTTCGTCATCGATCGATATCGATTTTATCGATTTTTATCGATTTTTTTGCTGAGTTCACCTACGGGGCTGGGAGTTGGCACAGGGGGGTAATCGAGCATGGGGATTCCGAATACAATATTGGTTTTCA